GAAAGAAGGAAAGACAGACTTGAGATGTAGCTCAGTGCTGCAGAGAGACCTTAAATGAATCAAAGAATATATCAAAAGTGAAATCAGGAAATACTTCTAGAGATGAATGAAAATGAAATTGCTATGTAGTAAAGTATGTAGAATACAGCTAAGCAGTGATTAGACAGAAATTTATAAATATAAACCTTATACTAAGAAAGAACTAAGATCACAACTCAATAATCTAACTTCTTAGTTAAGACACTGGAAAAAGATAACTTTCTTTTTTAATCCACAAAGCTATTCTCTATGTGGCAATTTACAAACTTTCTAATTAACATCAGAGCTAAAAATTCAAAATAACTTCTGCTTGACACAGATTCTTCTTTGTTACTCATTTCATAGTAAATCCGTTTTTACTGTTCCTGAGATTATACAGTAAATCCCTTAGATGGTATTCTAAATCTTTCAGATTAGTAACTTGAAAAAAGAAGTTCATATATGCACCTGATTACTTTATATTTTGAGTAATTCTCAATTGTGGGATTTAATGAACTTGCAGAAGGAAAGCTACTGATTTCGAATTTTGTATTTCTACCACATGTTCACTTGGACCCCAGAGCAGCCCTCCCAGACCACCTGCTCCCTGCCTTGTCCCCCAGATGAGCAGATGAGTTTTCCCTACTGTGTACTAACCCACATTATATTCATTTCTTTCCAAGGAAGAAACGTTATCTGAGATGTTCTGGGAATAAAATGTGTTTTACATTCAAATATACTTGGAAAATATTCAGCTTAGTATTTTCCTAAGTAGATGTTTAAAATGCATTTAAATGCACTAAAAGTTCTTGTTTATTACTTGTTTATCACAAGTTGGCCGGATGTATTTGACCCCAGTAACTGTGGTCATACAATACTTTAAAAGTATTGTGAGAAACATGAGTTTATATGCATCTTTTCTACTAGAAAGATAGCTCCATGTCTATTAGACTTCCATCTGTATCTATAGGTTGGATCAAATCATGGCCTGACTACCTCAAACTTCTTCTTTTGAAGTCATTAGCAATGCATTTTGTTTCTGGTTTTGTCTTGGCTTGAATTCTGGTAAAATTATTTTAAGGACAAAGATTATTACATTTTTTCAAAACTTCTATTGTTTGATAAGTCCATAGTATCTGCATATATACAGAAACAAACTGATCTATCTATCTATTAATTTTTCTTCTAGAGTGATTTTCTATCCTTAACATGAATGGCTCCACAACATAGAACTAGGGAGTTTAGATGGATATTTACATTCCTACTTCTCACAAAAAAAAAGAAGTCCAACATTAAGATGTGCTGTAAGCCCATCACAAATCTGGGGATTGAGCCATCGACTGTATGGCTTCTGTGAGTTTTACCTCATGCCTTCCCTTTTGAGAGTGAATGTGAAATCTGTGTTGTACTGTCATTTCTTCCAATATCAAACAAGTTATAAATAACATCACGTATCAGAAACCATTTTAATATGAAATTTTTTCTCTAAATAGCCATTGGAATTCTATCATTAAGAATATTCTCCACGTTTCCTAACTAGTCCTCATCTTTGGTGCAAAGTTTGGTCCAACATGTTCTGAAAGGGATCTAGAAAATGCAGCCTGGACTGGTCCTGCTGTTTTTATATTTCAAGATGCTACATGTTAAGCAAAAGAATATTGGGTTTGGGATCAAGTTGTATGGATTTTCTAGGAATAAATTTGTGTGATTTGAAAAAATAGATCTCTATAAACCTCATTTTCCTGGAATATAATGAGACTAAAATTTCCCTATTTATGCCCAGGATGAATGAGATAATGACTGTAAAAGTATTTTAAAGTGTTGAAACCTGAAAAAGAATGTAAGGAATGAACTTTAATATGCTTCATGCATTTCCCACAGTGCCTGACTATTAAGACATCACCGACTCGGTGGATGGTTGTGGAATATTCCCTCCACATATCTCTTTGTCTATTTTCAGAGTGTTTACTTCTGCTTGATGCCTCCAGAGAAGCCAAACTTTCTTCTACGTCTGTACCATATTGTATGGGCTATTTTTCAGTGTGGACAAAGAAGCAGTGTTGTCCTTGGAAAATTACTTAAGAAATACTTCACGCAAACCCATTATCACATGGGACATCAGCCTTTCCCTCTCTAAGCAGAAGGCCAAAATTTTCCGATCATTTTTGGAACTTTCAGTATTCAATTAAGTAGTAGACCCTTCCCACCAATTCCCTGACAGTTGCCAGATTCTCATGAGAAATAAATGTCTGCCACATGTATTTATGTCTGAATTAGGTTAGTAACAGTGTGCTACACCACAACCGGCTGCCTGGGTCAGACGTACAGCCATAGTTACTCTCAGGCCGTCCATAAAAAAGAAATCTTATAAAGGAGAAGACCCTTTCCTGTACAGCAGCACTGCGGTATGGCCTGCAGGTCTGGGGCTAAGCATACTTCAGTGCAGGCTGTGTAACCACATGCTCCCTATGACCCCTGCCCTGGCTGGTAAAGGTTCCCAAAGCCTATCTAATTCCCATATAAGAAATTTCTTTCTTAGATTTCTTATCCCTACCTTGCCAATTCCTTCAGAACAGGGACTATGTGGTTTTTCTTTTTCTTTTTCCAGTTGTTTAATACGGCACCTGGAATATAGTAAATATTTTAATGGAAACAATACATAAAATTATCTCATCACCAAGGAAGGATTTGGAGAATCTAACTCAAACTGTATTCTCAAAAGGAAAGAGAAACTGAAATAAGGAAAAGAAGAAAAGAAGGGAATATATATATATATATATATATATATATATATATATATATATATATATATATATATATATATGTATACACACACACAAGATAGTTAAGAAAGATATGCTAGCAATTGCTGTTAGCTCATTGAAAGGATAGGTATAAGCCTATATTGCTGGATGAGTTTTTCATGCCTATAACTTACATTATGAGCAGGTACTTTGAAGATAACAATGTGTGATATACTGAACATTGTTGTTCTCCTACAATCTTGTTTTGAAATCTTCCACCATTGTTTTTACCATTTATTCTTCTCTTTAAAATAAAATTTAAAAACTGTATGGTTTTCATAAGGATCCTTTTCTATAGAAAATTTTTTAAAAAATCTTAGAAGAAATGTGGTTTAGGACAAGAGAGGAAAAATGGAGAGCAAATAGAGGAAAACTGATTAACAAATAACAAAAGAATCAGAACAAATTGATCAGTGTGTAAAAGACGTTTGATTTAGCCTTTCTGAACACAAGGACCATCCAGTGGAAAATATGCGTGTGAAATCAAGTTTGGTTTTACCTTGGTGCCTGCACGCAGCCTGCATTGTCTCTGCAGCCAACTTCCTGGGGACTTCTGCAGAAATGAGGTGTCTTATGTTGCGTGTAGGTCAGGCTTTCCTGTTCTGACTTGCAGTTCACTTTTCATTTAGTTGTAAAAATCAGCAAAACAAACTCTCTCAGCTGCTGCCTTGTGTACTCTTTCACTAAGATGAAGCTAAGGATTGATCGTCTACATTCCCTGCAATGTTACTATCTGCATGCAAACTCTCTCCCCTCTTGCTCTAACTGATGGAATAAATAAGGAAAGATGAAGGCAAATTAACGAAAGTCAACAATTGCATCATTCAACTTGTTATCGGTCTATATAGTTAGCTGGTCCATAGGTTTTTTAGCAATCTATTTCTGAATTCATAAATATATACTAATAGCTGATTTTTTCACCGTGCTAAATATAATAAACATTGCCCATATCACAGTTCAATATGTTCATTTGAGAATTGCCATTATGATGCATATTAATGAATAATTACAAAGATGTCATGGAGTTAATGTGAATAGCATTCTATGTACACCTAGGCTCTAGGACCATCACAGGTAGCTTTATTAGCAAAAGAATTACTTATAGTTGTACAGCACCAAAGCCAGTGTTGTCCCTTTAACCACAAACATTTCATCAGCCCTCTCAGACAGACGAGGTTTCTGAGCAAAAATGTCAACCCAGTTTCTGTCTGTCCTCATGACACTCATTTAAGTGGCTATAAGAACTTTGCAATTAGTGTCCTCCAAAATACTTACACCCCAGAAACATTGGAAGTAGAAGAAATTGCTGACAAATATCTGACTTTAAAATATAGATGAAAGATGAATTAGCACACTTAGATACAGGAGAAGAAAGTACATTTCCTAGTAATTTTTCTCTACTACGGCTTTACCAAGTCCGAGCCTCTAGGAACTCTGGTCATAGAAGATCTAAGATTGGCAACTCAACCGTAAATAGGCTGGAAAAATCAGTCAACAAACACCATTTTGCAGATTCCTAAGGATTATCATGTTAAGTAAGCCAATTTCAATACTTCAGCTGTGTTTGGAAATTAAATATTCCAATTACTCTTGTGCACTACAGATTATATATGATGATATACATTATGTACAACATATCATATTCATATTAATGCATACATTTTCATATGCATTATATTTACACACATTATGAAAGGAAAGACGTACACAAAGAGAAAAGGGAGAGAGAGGAAGTGAGGCGAGAGATCTTGGCAAAGGGGATGTAAGTGTGAGGGAGCAGAAATACTGATAATCAGAACAATATGATTTGATCTGACTTCACTGTAAAACTCTCCCTTTTTGAGAACACAGTCCATAGAGTTTTTGGTATCTAAAATTTCAGTTATTCTTAGGTCATTTGTAAAATAAATATTTTAAACATTAGTCACATTTATTTTTCCTTACCTACCTACCTGCCCTCTCTTTATTCTCTTCCTTTTAGGAAGGTGATGTCGTCAAGGTCTTCAACAGGATTCCCCAAACTCAGTCCTTTGAGAAGTCTCAGAGAACCCCTGGACAACTCAAGGCAAAATATGAGTTTATACTCTTCTATTTTATTTTGTCATAGAAGTAGACTCAGTCATGATGTTTCAACATTAGGAGATCTTTTAATTTTTTTTATTTTAAAGATTAAAAAAGCTAACAAAACAACAATGAAGACAAAATCAAAACAAAACAAAAACAACGAAAATGATATATGACTTCAAAACAAAATGATAGGAATCAACAGTGGTTGCTATATACACACTGCTATCCTCAACGGAGTTGCTCAGTCCACCAGATGTAAGAATGAAAGATTGATCAAACAATGTAAGACACAACAAGCAATAAAAAGAAAAAAACATTGGAAATGATGCAGAGCTTCAAAACACAAAATACAGGAGTTCAACAATGGTTCTATTTTTGTGGCTTTATAAAGTATTTTTTTATTTTAAAAATTAAAAAGCTGACAAAACAACAATGACAAAATCAAAACAAGACAAAAACAACAAAAATGATCTGTGACCTCAATACAAAAATGATAGAAATTTATAATGATTGCTATATGACATATGTTTATCTTCAGCCAAGTTGCTCAGTCCATTAGACATAAGAATATAAGATTGATCAAACAATCAAACACAGTAACAAATAAAACAAAATAAGTTTATTCTTATTAAGAAAAACATTGCAAATGATGTAGAGCTTCACCATACAAAATGGTAGGAGTTCAACAATGGTTCTTATACTGCATACTGCTTGCAGATCAGTCATTCTAATTACCAAATTCAAGCATGTAAAATTGGTCAAGAAAAAAGAAAATTTTAAGCATTGTCTGTTCCTCTCAATAAGCCACAGACATCAGCAATACACCTATGCCAGCTATTCTTTATATACATATAAATTATGTTTTTCATTCTTTTAAAAATAAACAAAAATAAATACATAAAACAACATAGAGAGCAATAAAAATGATACAGAATTTCAAAACATAATGATAGGATATTAACAATGGTTGTTGTGCTACACAATGTTATCTTCAAAATGGTTGCACCTATAACCAGATATAGGCATGCAAGACTGATCAAGCAATTACACATTAACAGTTCCTTTCAATAAACCAACAGATATTAGTAATATAATTATTCTAGCTTTCCTGTGTATATAATTACATATTTTTCCCTCTTCCTTCTTTCTTTTTCCTCTCCCCTCCTTCATCCCAGTTGTTGCTTCCTATCTGAGCAGTTTATTTACCCTTTCACAGTATCTATTGTACCTTTCAGATTTTATTTACTCTTTCAGATTCTTATAGTAGGGAGGTAATACGATGTTTACACACATAAATCTGATTTATTTCAATAATGATTATGGTCTCTAGTTGCATCCATTTATCCATAAAAGTCTCTAGTTTATCTTTCTTTATAGCTGAGTAATATGCCATTGTATAAAAATACCACATCTTTTTTATCCATTCCTCAGTTGATGAACATTTGGGTTGTTTCCAAGATTTAGCTGTTACAAATCGCACTACTATAAACCTAGGTGCACATATATCACTGTGATATGATGTTTTCAGTTCTTCTGGAAAAAATACCCAGGAGGGGAATAGCTGGGTTGAATAGGACCTCTAATCCTAATTTACTGAGGAATTTCCAGATTGATTTCCACAGCGGTTGCACCAGTCTACACTCCCACCAACAGTGGAGAACAGTTCCTTTTTGTCCATAACCCCGCCAGCATTTGTTATGGGTTGATTTCTGCATGATAGCCATTCTTTCTGGGGTGAGATGGAATCACAGGGTTGTTTCAATTTGCATTTCTCAAATGATTCATAAAGATGAACATTTTAAGAGGGTAATAACAACAAAGAAGATCAATCCTTTGCCAATGCATGGCTAAGTACTCTCATTGACATGGTATTTTCATTTGGGAATTTTTCATGTTGCCACTTCTAATTGCACTATGGAGATCTGGCTTCAGTTATTGAAGAGAATGTACACAGTACAAGACACTGGTAGTGCCATGTCACTTAAGAATTTTATTTTCCCACAGGCTTTGATCCACAAAAAAAACAGACATTTGAAAATCTTATATTTACCAGGCACCCTTTGACTTTTCAGGTTGAGATTATGAGGAGTTTTTCAAGGTACATCTCTTTGTGTGCATATGCACACACATATACACAGGCAAAGAAACATCCCTTCTTACTCTAGGCTTATCTTGGGTTCCCTGATGCCATAATTTCTGAATAAAAATGCAAAATATTCCCTGATTTTGCATTTTTATTCAGAAGGTTCTGGGGAACAAATTGCTCTGCTTCGTTCCATCTCCATCTGCCTTACAGTACCTGAGGACATTACATCTGTACTTCTTTTGGACCTGAACGATCACCACAAGTTTGACTCATATAAAATTATCTCAAAGCTTGATAAGTATGAAAAATCAGAGTAGCATGTTTAACTCCAGAATTATTCCAAGAACTGATCCTATGATTTTCTAACTAAAACTAAAGATTCCCCTCAACTGGAGTCCTTTTGCCTTAATTTTACTTTTGCAGTAACACTAGACTATCTGTTTCTTGTGATTGTGGTGGCTTTAATGTCCCTCTCTTGTATCTCAAAGATGTATGACATAAGAAGTACTCAGCATACTTTTGTGGTAGTGATAGTGATGTTTCTGTTGTCATTTTTAGTAACCTTCTTATCCAACTGACCCACTGCAGAAATTTTGTAAAAGCTGCACTTAAAATTATTTTAGCTGGCTTTATGAGATAAACAGATGTTTCTCCTAGATAATTTACT